ACTCTGCTACAGGAGATGCGGGATGAGAGCAAAATTTCAGTAGGCTGAGAGATGAATGGAAAGAGGAAATGGACCCTTTAAACATATGCTTCTCTTTTTAAAAAATTGGCAGTGACTAATGAAATCCAAATTCCCTAGCTTGGCTTTTAAAGCCTTTCAAAGTTTCATTCCACCACATCTATCTAACCTTTCTTTCTTTCTTTTTTAAAAAAATTTCAGAATATTAAGGGAGTACAAATGTTTTGGTTACATGGATTGCTTTTGTACTGCTTGAGACAAAGTTATAAATGTGCCCATCACCCAGATAGTGTACATCGTACCCATTAGGTTTGATTTCACCCATTCCCTTTTCCCCCTTCCCAGCTGCTTGATTTCCCTTGAGTTTTACCTCCATCTGTGCACATGAGTGCTATTCTGTTAGTCCCAATTTCCGTATCATTGATAGGTTAGCCTTATTCTCAGGTAAGACTGGTCACCTTACTGCCTTGGAAAACATCAAGTCCATTTTTACATGTGTCAACATTCATGCTATTCCTACTAGTCTCTGTTGCTGGGACTTTGCATTTTTTCCTACTGTACAAAAAATGTGCTTGTAGATTGATAGAGAAGAAAACAGTTTGTGGATCTTGAATGATTTTTGCCTTGGGTGAAAGTTGAGAGTGGGGATTAGAGAGAATCCCTGCTGTGGGCTGAGGGAGGCATAACGTTCAACCAGAGATTTCCACAGAATAAACCATTTCTTAAAAGACTGCTAATTAGCATTTAACTAGGCACTTAAAAGTCTGCAAATACCCTCTACCAAGAGCTAATGTCAGTCTGGGTGTCAAACCTTAGGCACAGATCCTAGAACTCCAGCAATAGGCCCACCTGTGTGGCTATTGCCTTTTGATCAGAATGTTTCCTGCTACTCTGACCTCTAAGGCATCCAGTCATGGATCCAACTACATTCTTATCCAGAAGCCGACTGCACCGTTGATAAGAATTGATCATTTTCATACTCCCCAAACTAACTTGAGAGGTGGTGAATAGATCTGTGGGTCCAAGTCATGGTTTTCTTCATAAAAAACTTTTTGATTCTTCATCTGTAGTATGTCTTTGTTCTTCATGAGTGACCAACAACTTCCTTTATTCTTCTTTGTTTTACCCTTGGAAGACCCCTGTTACATAGGACCCTAAGATCTATCATTTGGCTAGTTACAAGGTTTTTGAAATATTTTTGTCCTTCTTTTACTCTTAGAATACACAAAAATCCCTGATGTGTTGGTTCAATCTGAGACTCTTAAACACATCAGCTGCCATAGGGCATTGCAGGAAAGTAGGATATAATAGTTGGTTAACATTTTGCTAACATTGATAAATATACCTTAAGCTATCTAAATATTGCCCTGTATGAAAGGCAACCAGTAGGATACACATAAATGTAGTGAGACAAATGTGGAGAATAAATACATTTTTAAATTATTTTATCCTTTAATAGGCTCTGATTCAGTTAGAAGATAAAACAAGATAAGATTACTGAGTTCTACAGTTCCAAAGTTACAGTATAGAGTACAAGAATCATGTAGCCTTTAGTTTCCCTTGAGCCATGTGAAATTGAGGAAGTTATTTTTTCTACCTATGGTGTTTTGCTAGGCTGTATTTCTTCACCTGTAAAATACCAGGATAGAACTGAAGCAGATGAATCTTAACTTTAATATAGGCATAGCTCAAGAAGAATAAAGGTGTATAACATCAAGGTGAAAATGGCAGATTCAAGTGGGAAAAAAGGCAAATATACCATAGTGTAGACAGAGGTCCTCAAACTTTTTAAACAGGGGGACAGTTCACTGTCACTCAGACGGTTGGAGGGCCGTTAGTGAGTGTGGTGCACATTCCACACATGCGCACTATGGGCCTGGGAAGAGTCGGCTGCTAAGCAGGACAGGCAGCAGTGGCAAAAACACCTGGCAGGCTGGATAAATGTCCTTGGCGCCCGAGGGCCTTAGTTTGAGGATGCCTGGTGTAGAGTGTAATAGATTCTTATAGGGTGGTGAGAGAATATGCATGGCTAATAGGAGAATGGGACTGAATCACAGAATTGCATAGTGAGGGCTAGCCTGAGGACACCCAGGAGTAGTTTAACCCTAAAAAGATACACTCTCATTTTCTCACCTGTTATTGGATCTAAACTACTTTTGTTATTGCTACTCATTTTATATACTGATCAAAAAACCATAAGAGTCCTGAATATTTACATCCTAAATAATCCTTCTCTAATTTACTAAAGGCTTTTTACATTTACCGTAAAATAAGAACTGAACTGAGTGAGGTGAAATTTTCTTAGCTTTCTTGCTGATATACTATGTAAATATCTGGAATGCTAATTGTAGAATAAACTGGGCAGAAATGACATCTTGTCAACCTTAAGTCTTTCCATCCAAGAATATGATATGTCTGTCTGTCGTTTAGGTCCCACCTTTTATGCTCCTCATGAATATGTTATCATTTTTCTCCATACAATATTTTACATGTTACGTTATGGATATCTCTGATCATAGCAGATTATGGTTATTGTGAATGGAATATTTAAAACCATATTTCTCCTTGGTTACTGCTCTTCTGGTAGATTTTTATTGTTCATCTAGTATTTAACCACCTTGCTTTTTGTTCTAATAGTAGTTCTAATTGCTTGTCTTTTAATTTTTTTTTTGCGTTTTCTTGAGAATCATATTCTCTGTAAGTAATGTTATAATTTAATGTCTACCTTTCTAATATTTATGTCTCTTCTTTCTTTTTCTTATCTAGTTAATTGACTTTGTACTCCAGTGAAACACTGAATAGCAGTGGAGTGTGTTGACAACTGTTTATTTAATGCTAAACTGATTAAGAAATGAGCCTTTATGGAGGCCCATCCCTTTCTTTCTATTCTTCTCTCTTTCCTCCCTTCATGCTCTTCCACCTGGGAGTAAATGAGAGCTTTTACTAAAAGAGGATTGCTTTGCTTCTTATGTAGGTAATCACATTTTTCTTAGGAACTTCCTGGAGATGTTCAACATTTTCTTTTCCACACAACTGATACTTGGCTTGTTATTAGCATTACCTAAAGTGTGGGAATACAGTAATGCACCATGAGATAACAGAGGAATGGAAGAGCTGAAATGTTTTTCCCTCTGTAGAAAATGAACTCACGACATAGTCAAGTAGCTATTTTGGTAGATTCACTATCCGCTTCGACTTCTTAAAAATGTCAGTTTACATAAGATCAACAGCTCCCTCCTCCCTCTATTTTTTTTCTAATTTGTGAACTCTAAAAAATTAGATCACAAAACTACTCAGAATTATGTATAAAATGAGAATTAATGAGATTTCTATGAAAATAGGGAACATTTTCCTGTGATGAAAAAAGCATAGCCTAAATTGAGGTTTTAGAATGGATGTTGTGTTTGTTAAAGGAGCTTATGTGCTTGTTTGCAGGTATTGGCTGTTTTGGGCAGTGGAGGTTCTTGGAAGAGTAGTGTGTCAATGTGTTAGAGTAACTCCTCATTAGGGAGAACATTCCTTCTTGCACCTCAGAAAAGCAATCCTTGTGACAAGCTGTCTATTTCCTAATGGTTGCCTTGTCGTGGGTGGAACTGAAAACACTACATTGTGTTTCCCACTACATACACATTTTACAGCTAACCCACCATTATCTGCCATTCTTATTTTTAATGATTTTACCCTTCTTGTCTATCTAGTGTGTGTACTTAAATGTCCTTATACTCTCTCTTATGTTCACTGTACCTGTAATAATTTTTTTTAGCAATCAAAAGAGAGCTGAATATGACATATTCCAACACTGCATTAACCATTTCTTAAGCATTGGCTCTCCCTGTATTTGTCATTTTAGTTCACATATATTCAATACTTTGTTTCTTTTGGTATTATCTCTTGCCCTATAAGGTGGCCATTAATTGTGACTTTGACTAATCAGTTTGCTTGCTCTGGGATTTGGAGTAAACCGCAAAAGCCACACCATTTGGAACTTTTCTGTGGACTGGCTTTCTTGATAACCTCGAAGAAAATCTTTAGTTTGCTAAACAAAATAAATGTCAATGAAAATAAAGCACGGACCTGACATTCTTATGAACCTGATTTAAAAAAAAATACAGCTATAAACATGACTGGCAACTTTTGCTGAACAGAATATGGAGCAGTTGCATTCATTTCCCTTCCAAACTTCTTGGTGGCAGAAAATAAAGGTTTGAGCATCCATAGGAGAGAACAAGTTGATTGAAAGATATTAAAAGCTTTGTTAGCAAATTAAATAGCTCTAGATACAGTGCTAAAAAAAGTTTGGCAGTTGAGATATATGTCCAAATTATGATACATAGAAAAGAAGTGATAATAAATGCAAATCTAATTTTGATTCTGGAAACTTTAGCTGATTAACATTGAGCTTGAATCATTTAGTCCTCTCACATCAAATTTGCCATTTTATTTTTATAAGATGAAATCAGAAATAGCAAAAATCTTCTCAAGTCCTTGGAAAGTAACACATACATATTGGGTATTGACCGCCCACTATATTAATTGCTCATTCATCTCTGCCCTGACTTATGTAGCTCAGGACTGGATATTGGTTCTCCCAACTTAATGCTTAGAGGCAGTTCCACATTTGCTTTGCTTTTCTTGCCTCCCCAAGGCTGATTACTCCCAGGAGCACTGTACTTGTCAATCTGTGAAAATGAGTGAACTGGAAAATTTGAGCCACTGGCAAGTCTACTGTTTCTACTTATTCATATGCTCTTGGTTTTTCTACAGGAAATAAATAATGGCTGATTTATTTGTGTGCCAATCCATATACTCCCACAGTTTTCCTTAGGAGGCTATGTGATGAAACTGTGTGATGTGCACTCATGATCTAATAATGAAATCTCATGATCTAATACACATGGGATATTTAGAAATTATGAGATGATAACATGATATTTCTGGACAGTTTTACAGAGTAGTTTTACAGTTTTTCTTTTATATTTAAGGTGACGACACTTGTCAACACAAGCAACAAAGGTCCATCTGGTAAGAAGAAAGGGAGGTCAAAGAAAGCCCATGTGCTGGCTGCATCTGTAGAACAAGCCACTCAGAACTTTCTGGAAAAGGGCGAGCAGATCGCTAAGGAGAGTCAAGATCTCAAAGAAGAGTTGGTGGCTGCTGTAGAGGATGTTCGCAAACAAGGTAGGCAGGAGAATCTTGTTCAAGAGGGATGTATATTGATGTGCAAACAATGGATTTTTTAACCAAAAACAAGGGAACCTCAATTAAAAAAAAAAGCCTAATTTCCTCCCCCCCAGACAAAACTGGCAATTTTAAAGGTTGCCGGAACTAAGGGCAAAAAAAAAAAAAATTTTTTATTGTTGCAGTATAGCAGCAGATATTCCATGCCTGCTGTTACTTCAAAATCTTCCAAGTTGTTTTCCCTTCATAGATGAAATACAGACATATGTCTAACTCAGGCCTTAGGGAGGATGGGATGGAAGATCTTGTTCTTATGGAGTTATGGGAAACTCAGGATTTGAAGGATGAAGGGAGAAAAGAATGTAAAGTAGCATAAGAAAATTATTGTTGTTTCCTATGATTCCCAGATTTATACTTTCAGTCCACAGCTTTCCTCACAAAGCTAGCTAGCGATAGGTGGATCAATTACCAGTCTATTTAGCTAGCTGTCATACTGTTTATTTAGCATTTTAAAATTTTTATTTGTAGTAAAATACAAAATATAAAATCATAAACTATTTTTAAGTGTACAGTTCAGTGGTGTTAAGTGTATTCCCATCATTGATCAGCCAATCTCTATAACCTATTCATCATGCAAAACTGAAACTCTATACCCATTAAACAACTCCGCGTAACCCCTCCTTTGAAGCCCCAGCAATCACTACTTTCTTCTTCTATGAGTTTTACTACCCCAAATACATCATATAAGTGGAATCATATGTATTAGTATTAATAATTTTGTGACTGGCTTATTCCACTTAACATAATATCTTCAAGGTTCATACACATTGTAGCATGTGTCAAAATTTCCTTCCTTCTTAGACCTGAATAATATTTCATGGTATATATATATATATATATATATATCACATTTTGTTTATTCATTCATCCATCCGTGGACATTTGGGTTGATTTAATTTTTTGCCTCTTGTGAATAATGCTACCGTGAACATAGATTTAAAAATATCTCTTTGATACCATGCTGTCAGTTTTTTTGGATATATACCCAGAAGTGGTATTGCTAGATCATATGGTAAGTACATTTTTAATTTTTGAGGAACCTCCATGCTATTTTTCATAGTGGCTGCATCATTTTACACTCCCACTAACACTGTACAGGGCTGCAATTTCTCTATATCCTCAACAACACTTGTTTTGTTTTGGGTTTTTTGATAGTAGCTATCATAATTGGTGTAAGATGATATCTCATTGTCGATTTTGATTTACATTTGCCTAATAATTAGCTATGTTAAGCATCTTTTCATATGCTTCTATGTATTAGTATATCTTCTTTGAAATATACGTGTCAAGTTCTTTGTCCATTTTTTAGTCAAGCTATTTAGTTTTGTTGTTGTTGAGTTTGCTATATATTCTGGATATTGATACCTTTTCAGATAGTGATTTGCAAATATTTGCTCCCTTTCCATAGGTTACCTTTTTGTTTAGTTGTGTCCTTTGACACACGGAATTTTAAAATCTTCATATGGTTCTACTTGGCATCTTTAGTTGAAAGTTCTAAGGGCCATGAAATCATAACAGACACCTACTCTGCAATTCAGTCTCCCTCCTACATTTCCTATTTTGGAGAATGCCACACAAATCTATCCAGTTGCACGTTGCATAAATGTTAGTATCACTCTTGTTACTTCTCTTTCCTTCCAAATACAGTCTATTATAAAGTTTCATAGATCTTAATTCCTAAATATCTGTTTAAGGGACCACTTCTTGCCTCAATTATCCAAAAGCACTATGTTTGCCTGCCCCAGGGCCTTTATACATACTGCCCCCTTTCACATAGTTCAGGATGATTCATTCTGCACATCTCAACTCAAAGAATACCTTTTCAGACAAACTTTCTCTGACACTCTGATAATACTTTTTCATGGATCTTTTTCTTGTCATTTTTCATGAGATAATTCAATATTGGTGAGGTGACTTTATTTCCTGCCACACTATAAATTCATGAAGGCAGAGACTAGTCCATCTCTCTTTTGCTGATCATTGGTTTGCAATGCCTACTACTCAAAAGATTTCCTTAAATATTTGTTGAATGAATGAATGAATAAGTGAATGAGTGGTCTTTTCCTGTTCTTCTTGGAAACCTACTATTTTTTCAATTCAAAGCTGGGTATTTTTACTACCTGGAAATATCAACCCATCTTCTATACCGGCATCCACTAGTCTTTGTGCTGCCATCTTCTTCCTCAACCTATTCTAACCCCAAAAGATAATTTCATTTATATCACCATAACTTAAATTGCTACTTTAATTTTAAATTTTAAATGTATCATATTTCAACTAGATGAATCGAGTATATTTGTGCATGTATTTTGGTAACTTGAAACCTCCTAAGTTTTCAAGCAAGTGCATTGGAACACTGATACTCCTTCTGAATTGCAGGTGGACAGCTGTTTGTTTCTATGCATCTGTAGCTTGGATAGTTGGTTTGGGTTTTATTGGTTTTTTTCTTTTTCTTTAGGTTGACTGGCATATAATAAACTTAACATATTGAAAGTTTACAGTTTGATAAGTTTTGACAAATGTGTACATCCATAAAACTATCTTTGCAGTCAAGATAGCATGGTGGAGAGGGATTTGATGGCTTCTGAGCTTCTTTCTCGAAGCATTTATGTTTTATGGTGAGAAATTTTCCTGTTTAGTTTCAACAACCCTTTTTAGGATTTCCTTCTTTTTTTTCTTGTAAGTTAGTTTTCATACATGCTACAGGAATTAATGTTTCAGTTGTTTTGAAGCTTATATGAAATGGTGTTTCTGTGGGAATAATATGATAATCAACATAGTTCTTGGCCAGCCTGTTTTAGGAGTATTAGAGTAAGAAATTTCTAAAGATGGTAATTTAGGACAGCTAACAGTGGTTGCTCTTCTATATTTAGAAATAGAGAAGATTAGAAATTTAAAATTTAAATTTCCTCTATTTCTCATTACAGAAAAATTATGCATCAGAAATTATGCCCATGTGTAACCTGTATAAAGTTCAACTTCCACATGTTCCTTTTTCTGAACAGTATCAAATTCAAGGAAACATTACTGTCATAAGCAAAATAGCAACAACAAAAATTATGGTAAAAGCCTTTACAATTCTCTTTGGTTTCTTTCACTCTCCAATAGCTCCCATCCACTTTTAATGCTTGTCAGGTGTGAGTGGTGCCTCTCCTCTCTGACAACAAAATTGTTGGTCTCTTATTTGATATTGGTGCCCACAATTTCTCTTATCGCCTTTCTTTTCCTTATCTAACTCAGCTCCTTATTATGTAATGTCTTTATTTTATCTGGCTTTACCCAATTTTCCTGTTTACCCATTACTAAGATTTTATTCACCGATGAGAGGCTGAGCTGATTTTCAGAGAAAGGTGGGGAGAAAGGAGCTTGAAGGGAAGGAGTGTAGAGTAGGGCAAGGTATTCAGTTATTGAAAACTTTAGAACAATGTACCTTTCCTTCTAAAATAGAAATCTGTCTTCAATCTGGAACATGATATTCATGGAATAGCATGGAATTATGGAAACACTAGAACCAATAACCTCCTTTAAAGTGTCTTCAACATCTATACATGGCTTATTTACTAAGTGATGTATACTTTTGAAACTAAATCTATTACTTTTACTCTTGCATTGTTTTTACTTTTTTAAAATCAAACTTTCAAGTAGTATTGTCACATTTTTTTTAATTTTCAGCATGAGTAAATGCCAGAAATTTTCATATTGTGCATGTCCATTTTCAGATTTTTAATATAGGATAATTTATTGTTTTTCTTTTGAAGTTTCACAATATTTATGATTATAAATACTATAATCTGGAAAGATTATAGATGAAATTATCTATTTAACTATGTTATTTTTGTATCTCATATGGTTAAAATTAGTATTGTTTGGATTTCTTTATTATTAAAAAAAAAAATAACCTTTTTAAAACGAAGCCGCCCGCCAAAATTTAAAAAAGGCCCAAGAAGAGGGGGGAACAAAATTTTAACCCCCAAAAATCCAAGAAAAAAATTCCCCAAAACCGGAAAAAAAAAGGCCTTGAGTAGGCTTATGATAGCATTTATATTTAAAACAAGTAACAAAAATAAATTGTCAAGAGATATTATTGTAGTCAAAACTTAGAACTCTTACGTTTAGACTTGGGTAAAGACAGAATATCTGTGTGTGTGTGTGTTTCTGTCTGTTTTAAACATAACTAAAGTAATTGGATATATGTATATTACTTTTCTAAGTTTAAGCTTCATCAGGATAGAACAATGATGTGTATCTATTTCTTTCAACTTCTAAAGCACCCAGCTTGGTTCTCTAGCACATGGCAGGTGATATTTAGAAAGGAGGCTTTCTTGTGAAATCAGTGAAGCATAGGCAGTTTGGTTAAGATATGCAATTTCTAATCTTGCTTTGGCAAATAACTAGATTATTTAAGCTAAATCACTTAGCCACTTTCAGCCTCAGTTTCTCCATTTTTCAAATATAGGCAATTGTTGTGTTTACCTCAGTGGATTGTTTTACTAAGTGAGGTCACAAGGGATTACAAAAATACTTAAGTGTTATATAGAAGTTAGAGTAGATTTATTAAATCAATCTGTATTACCTATGGCAATAGCTCTACTTCCCATTATTGAGCAATCCTGGCCTCTTCCAAGCAGCATGCTGGAGAGCTGAATCAGCATCTGTGAGTCTTCCTGAAAAGAACTAAATAGCTCAGTGTGGCTTAGAGCTGGTGATGGTTGTAAGTGGTGCCAACTGTGAGTGGATAGTTGTGCATCTCATGAACCATATATAGAAAAGCTTCTTGGAAATGAGGAATGACAAGGGAGTTATTACAGTCCTGCCTTGCTGGTGAAGCTCTGGACCAAGGAAAGTGTGGGACAGAGAATGTTAGAATGTTTTTGGTGTTTACCACCAAGATATTCCTGAAACGAAAAAATCTTTCTGGACTATGCACTAGGGTTCTCAAC